TTGGAACCTGATCTAAACTACATTTTATGATTGGATAAATTAGATATTTTACCACTGTAAAGTATTTAATATTAACCAATCATGATCCATCTAACTAACAACCCACTTATTTGTAAGTGCTGAAATTACTTGTAATTTCAGCACCTAGAGAGATTTGAATTTAACTTAGAAATTAGTTGCCTCTCAAGAGAACTTCAGCAGCCGCAATAAACCAGTATACCCTAGATCTATTGAGCCTAGCAGAGACTAGTTAAACAACCTGAGACTAGATAGTATAAGAGTAAGATTAGGATCGGTATTAGACTAAGAAATTGCACGAATCTATCCGGCCGAAAATAAGATAGCGTGACGAACAGACGGTGTACCCTATCCGAAATTACTCTATGAGTTAACCACATCGGTCATAACTCATCTGGTGCGACCATAAGTCTCGAACAAGACCTTAATAGCTTAGAATTAACCAAAAATAGATTAGAATTTAGACAAAACATTTTCAAAATGTTATACGACGAAAATTTAATCGAAATGTCTCTACGACTCAATAGATCAGAGCCAATATTCCGAACGATAACAGAACTACCCGGAATTGGAAGAATACCTCGAACCAGAGACGACATACGACAAAGTAGAAACTTACCAAATAGTTATATGATAGTACGGCAAAAGCCAACACAAACTTTTATATTTAGAATTTTATTAGCAATGAATTTAGATTTTCATTTGCAAACATAAAATCTTGAAGCCAATCTTCATGATCATTTCAGGCGCTAAACAAAATTATTAATATACAATAACGATTGATAAAAAGATCTCAGATCGTTTTCCTAAATTCTGCAGTATTATATAAAACATGTTTGGAAAATATTTATTGAAAATCAAAACAAAAATTAGTAGCATGACAATAAATTGTTAGTAATCATAAAATCATCAATTGTCCCAGCTTCATCACCTAAACATAACAGCAATCATAAGCTCACTAAATATCAAAAACTAACATTTTGAACAATTTAAACCATTTTAAACTTAAAATATAATTTTAAAATCAGATCATCAAGGCTTATCCTTGGATCTACATTAAATTTTTCTATTTTATTAATTTTAAAACCTGATCATCAAGGCCTATCCTTGGATCAAAAAGAACAATTTTGTTCTCCCCCACCCATTTAGCAAGTGTCTAACGACCTCAAACGTCGATTCACTATCCAACCCTTATCAAAAAACCCAAGACTAATAGAAATTTTTGAACAAAACTAATCATTCAAATTAGGATAAACAGTGAAGAACTTCGGTTTTTCATCCTTCGCTTGAACCCTCCTCTTAGACCCAGGATAAATCTTAGACTTAGTAAGTTTAAAATAAAATCTAACGAACTACTCGCGTTCTAATTATACCTGAACCTTGTGGATCGATTTACTATTCTCCAACCCTTGAACACAATCACTACCCCTAAGTAAGATTAAATAAGTTAACACCTTAGCTTATAATAGCCACGAGAAAGTAAAAAATCATTCATCGGAATCGATATACTTTTCTCTCCAACCCTGAACAAATAGACCCAGGTTAAGCTAACCAAAAAATCGTAAGAAATAACAGTTTAAGAAAATAGAAATCATCTAACAACTTTTTGCATCCGTTATCCTAAACCTTATGTCATTTAAAAATCTAGGAAACAAACAAACAATCGTTTTGAACAACTGTGAAATGGATAACAAAAAATACGACCTTGTAATCACACCTCATACACAAACAGTTGGATATATCAAAACAAAACGACAAACACTAAAAAGGAAAATAATAACCAAACAAAGACAAATAACACGAAAAAGATTTTCAAAAAATAGATACGCATTTTCAGAATCAGAAGCCAGCAATTTAGACGAACTTTTTAAATTAAAAGAATCCATTGATAAAAATTGCCCCATTCACGATCAATTATATTTTTCCGACTCAGAAACAACTTCAAATTCATCAAAAAGAGTAAAAAGAAGAATAAAAAAGCAATATAAACACAAACCAGTACACTTGTATAATTGGAATCAACCAATTAGACACATCGATAATTACCTATTAACAGTCATTAAACGAAAAAATGAGCCAAACACACACTCCAAGTGAAGATAGTCCAGATGATGACGATATCTACCCCTTCCTCGTAGATGCACCCGATAATAGAGGACAATATGATCTTTGCAAGAATTTTCTCCTAAATTTGTTTGAACCCGGAATCAGCCCATGTAAAGCAGAGTTCCCAGATGTAAAAATAAAAAGACAAATTATTGATCACTATCTGAAAGATATATGTAATTTAACACAACAATACGGAATCTACACCATAGAATTCAGTACACCAAACCCGAATCACCGCAAATATGTAATTCAAACAGACGATCTTGACTTAGAATTTTCAAAAGTATTCTTAGAATACATAAAAAGCATACAATATCATAACTCACAAAGAGCAAACTCCATATTTACTAATGAAGTTTTTGCAATAATATACAGTCATATTTCAATATTAGAAAACGAAAACCCAATCTCAAATGTCTCACCGACAGAGACATCCAAACATATAAGAGTACGACATGAAATCACACTATTTTCAACTTTCCTACATATAATTAAAGAAAATTTCACTAAAGATGAAGTTTCACAAAATACAAAACATGACTTACAAAAAATTTTGGCATGGTTTATAATAGATTATTTCACACATAAAATAGATTTAATTTCACAAGCAGGAAAAAATTTCAGACCTCAAAATTCAAACGATGATACCGCCCTCACAGAACAGTCAGACTACGTTTGGGACCCCGAATGGTCTCATCATGCATTCATAAATATCCCACAATCAATCTCAAGTCAAGCAATAAGTACAATATCTTATGCAAGAGATTATGTAAGAGTAGTACCATTAACCATTGATGCAACACCATTAAACTTCAATACATTTTTACCTGATACGCGAAATAACAGTTTAAATTCGACCGTCATACACAATGAAAACCTTAATGGAACTAGAAACCTCACTCAACAAGATATTCAAACACCATCACACTTCATAAATGAAGAAATCGTCCAAACAACTACACAACAAAGTATTTCACCAATACGTCCAAATTTAACAACACCAAAAAATACAAACACTTCACTAGCACAAGTAACCTTACAATCAACCGTTAAACCCTCGGTTGCTCCAAAATATTCACAAATGGATTATCAAACATATAGACCCATGACAGTACCATCAAAAACACGCAGAACGTTCACAAGAAACACTTTTGCGGAACACAATTATAATTACGCACA